ACATCTGCCATTAGGCTCTAGTGAAGCTGCTTCAGGAAGGTATTTAAAAATCCCTGTGGAGAGTGTATTGATGCAAGGTAACATGAACCAAAAAAACAGGCAAAGACACAAAACTTAGAAGATTCAGAAACATAGAGATTGTAAAGTCGACGAGAAACATGATTCACAATCCATTTTACTTTCAGTATGTGAAATATACTTAAGTGGAACTAATGGACATAGACATTAAGTGCTATATACTTAATGGAATAATTTGGTTATTGGCTCATATTTTAAACCACTTTGTCAAACATCTCTCCAAAATCATGGAGAGGACATGCATTTATTTATAGTATATTGGAGACAATTTGTGGTATGTGCTCCTGTGCAAAAACTTTTTGGAGTTTTGCAGTGAGATTGCATTTGAAAGTAGACCCACTGACCCTTTAGCCCATACTTGGATGCTGAGGGCCATGTTCACCTTTGAAAACATCAATGTATCCCTACTAATGCTTCCTTTGCATTGTATTGTTACTATTGTCAAAACCTTTATTAAGTTAACATTTAATGGCAATAAGATTTTGAAGATTTTTGAAATCCTGTATTAGAGTAGTCTAAAACATTGGTTTTCATTGTGATGCATATTTTGGTATGTTTATTATTAACACACTTGATTCAGATTATCAGCTCATTACAACTCAGTTAATGCGAGGTACACAATACATGATTTTAGGCCCGATTATTTACCTGCCAACATATTTTTCTGGAGATCACAGACAAAAGCCCAAAATCTGAGGCAAATGTGCTCCTTCACGTGAGTGAAGATCACATAGTGTGAATTATCAGCGTTGCCTATGCCTGAGACATATTTAGCAGGCTAAATATCTGGACCTGTCTGCAATTCAGAGTCTTGCATTGTATTTTGGCTGGAAATGACATCTGCAACAACCTACAGTACAGCCAAAGGGAGAGCAAGATACAGGATAATTCTGCTCATGTGTGATCTTACGTCATTTAATGTACTGTACAGTTTTACTTCTCACGCATATCAGGTTGGCTTATGTTAGTTAGTGTTGGTTTAACTGGTAGACTATGGGCAGCAAAGTCTTTGTGGTGAAGCATCTTTTCAATGGAAATACCTGAATAAAATGGTCTTTTAGAACTATTTAGGGGTGCAAATACAGCTAGCTACCTGGCTGATATTAGTGATATTTTTTACCGTCATTTAACACTCAAAGATAATGTTTAAAAATACTAATACATTAGTTAGTCTCAAAATGAAAATTCAACCTTTAGATTTTCAATTATAATGATGCCTACTTTTAGCATTCATTCTTATTTATTTATATACTTTACATAAAATAGTACAAAATGATCATACTAGCCATAACAACAAATTAATTATTGGCTTATCAGTATGAGCCAGAATTTTAAAATTAGTTTTAATGCTAATCAACTCAATCCAGATGTCAGCAGGAGAAGATATAATTCAGACAGAAAGAAAAACTCTGCCTTTGGCTGCAGCCGCTGGGCATATAAGATTTGGGAGCTGCAGTCATGTGCAGTCTCTTAGGCTCCCTCAGAGAGAACACATGAAAAACTGCATGAGGGGCCGGGCCAATCAAACACTTCTGCACCACTGCGTCTAAAGACACTGGAGACATGCTTGTCTCTGGCTGGTGCCTTGACAACCCAGATTAAACGATCAATTATGCCAAGACCCTCCGGGTAAGATTAACCAGGTCAGTCTTATCAATGCATTTTTCCATATAAAAAGTATGTCAGTGATTATAGATTATTCACAATAATAGTTTCCTCAAGTGCAAGAGGTCATGCGAGAGTACTAAGTCATGAGCTGAAAATACATGAAGGTAGAATTCACTAATCCACCAAAACGTCAATGATTCTGTTGGAATATACTCTAAGGCTAATTCAAATATGTAAACAAGTACAGTATAAGTGTAATCTAAACTTAAATGTATATTTATAGCATGCATCAGTAATGTTGTCATATATATATATATATATAATCTACCATTGTCTCATACCAAACCAGCATTTAATATAACAAAAAAAAAAATCATATTGATATAATTATTATTAATATAAACTAAATAAGATTCAAATATTAATTTAACTGAAATATAATTTGAGAATGTATATGCATAGCTTATATATATATATATATATATATATATATATATTAGGGCTGTCAAATAATTTTTTTTATCTAATTAATTACAGGGTGCTGCGATTAATTAATCTAATTAAGCGATATCATACCAGCAGCAAGAGCAATATCACACGAGTGCTGTTTTTGTCACGAAGAACACGAGTGCAAATGGGATTTTATACAACAGTTCAGTAAATAAGAAATTAATATTGTGCTATATTTTAAACACAACATTGTGTGTTTTTGTTCAATTTTGCCAACGAAAATATTACCTAAAAAGCCACACCAGAACTGTTGTGCGCATCTCCGAGCAACACAGCGGTGAATGAATCCGCGTTTTGAACGAATCATGTGAACCAACGATTCAAAGGCCATCCATAAAGAGAGCCATTTACTTCATTCCTGAATGAATCAGCCATTTGAACGAATCGACTCATAAAGACATTTACCACCACCTGCTGGTAGTTTTAGTTTCTTCTAGTATCATTTAATTTACTTAAAAAAACATTGAAGGGATAGTTAACCAAAAATAAATTAATAAATAAATGCTGTCATCATTTACTCACCCTCATGTTGTTTCAAACCTGAACGACTTACTTTCTTTTGCACAGCATAAAAGAAGGTATTTTGAATACTGTTTGTAACTAAGCTGTTTTGGTCACTAGTGACTTTCATTGCATGAACAAAAAATACTGAGATGTTTCTCAAATTATCTTCTTCTAGGTTCCATACTTCGCAGCACCCTGTAATTAGTTAGATAAAAAATGTTATCGACTGACAACCCTAATATATATATATATATATATATATATATATAATTAAATTTGATCTATTTTTATATATATATATATATATATATATATATATATATATGCTGATTATATATGTATATATAATCTGATTATTATAATATTACAATATTTGTATTTAATTTAACTGAAATATATATATATGCTGATTATATATGTATATATAATCTGATTATACTTAAATTTTTATAGTTGTAAATTTTATTTAATGCATATAATAAATGTGTTATTTAAAATATTTATAGATTGTTTTTATTTATTATAGAAAATATGAACATAACAGGGCATCATTGCATTACATCACCAATACAAAAAGAATCACTCAAAGTTGCAGTACAAGGTCACATAAGGAGTTCGATGCCCCGCTATAAAAAGAAACTCACGAACAAATGCAGCACGCGCTCCGAATCAGATACAAGCAACCCACAGCAGCAGTGATGAATAACCCCACACCCCAAACTACTTCAGTCTACTTGACCTTGAGATGCACGTGTGATAAGATCAACCAAAACCAATACTGTACATGATAAGAGGAGCTTACCCTTCTTTTTGAAGTACTTAATGACAGATTTAAGAGTGGTCGAGATGAACACCATTGTGACGGGTGATCGATCCCCTGAGAGATGTGCGCATAAGGATATATTAGTCCACCATCAGAGCGAGTGAGTGTGAGGAAGAGAAAGGGGGAAAAAACCTGCCACTACCTATACGACACTCTCTCTTTACTCATTTTACGCTGACTGGCACAGCATGCAACACTCCCCCTCCTCTTCTACCTCTCTCTCTCTTTCTCTATCACTCTCTCTCACATACATTTGCCCACCCCAGAGGATATTCAGTTGCTGTTTGAGTTGTACTCTCTCTCTTTCTGCATCCGCCTTCCTCTGCTCATCAATTGTGCGTCTCTCCTCCCCTAGTGTCTTTAGCTGTAGTGCATGTCTCTCTGTCGCATTGCATAGGTTTAAGTCTCTCTCACCTTGCCTTTAAAGCTGTGGAGGTATAACAAACTTGGATCCGTGCCATACACTATGGATCACTGACAATCAGCCTATTGTGTTTCTCTACACTGCTGCAGCCCCTTCCACTCCTCCTTTCGCTCTGTCCTTTTTCTTTTGAGCTGGGGCTTTTGAGCTTTTGAGTTTGAAAAGGATCCTAGGGCATTCAGCAGAGATTAAGGTGGTGGTCACCCACCCAGCTCTTATTTAGGGGCTCATTGCTGCAGTATTTCATTAGTGTTGAAGCAAGTGTAAGTTTCTTTCTCCTCCTTGCTCCATTTTTTTTCTTTCTAATGAACTGTGAACGGCCACTCAGCATTTTCACACGTGAGGTTGGTCAGAACTACATTTGGATTCAGTGCACATGACTCACAGCTGTGGGTTTGCGATATCACTTTATGCCTTTGACATACAGTGAACCTTTGGGGCAGAGAAGACACATTAAGTATTCAGACCTTCAAGTTGGGTTTCTTGAGCAAAGGACAATTAGACCTGGTATCTAACAAGCATGGTGTGCCAATCAGCGGTGCTGTAAATTAGAGCCCTCTGTTCATCATAGCACACTCAGATGACACACAGATGGCCATGATGCATTGACACTGATCCAACGCGGCTACCATCATATAGAGCGTGACGACCACTCAGTGGCACAGCAAATGTCTCTCCCTGCTTTTTGCACTTTATGAATAAGAATAGGCTACAAAAATCTGAAGTATGCTGTAACAGTTTTGTACAACAGTGGTAAAAATGTTAATTGCCCTTTTCCCACTAATAAACTGATTTGGTAGTTCTCCCTTTTGTCAAATTCCAATTTACTGGAATTTGACACCACTTTACTTTATTTTGGGCGTATCTGAATAAATATTATGCAACATTTCAAAATTGCAGCTTTGTGTATATTTCATCTGTAGCGTAAGGAATTTCATGATTCTGGTGTTGGTTCCTCTCACAAATTCTAGTTATTGAAAATGGTGTATTTAAAGTCATGATGAAACATCTGAGCGAAACAGATAATCAAAAAAGCAGGAAAATACTGTCAGACAGTTTAAGGTTCTAAATGACTTATTAAAAGACTGCTCATAGAATCAGTCTCACTTCTCCACAGTATGTCCAATAGTCATGGTCTTCACAGCAAGATCTCTTCCTAAAAGGGGGGGGGGGGGGGGGGGGGATTGTAGGGCATGGAATTAGTTCTATCCACCCATGTTGACAGATCTAAATGCAAGCTTGTCGACCTGTAAGAAAGGGTTGGGGCTAAATAACTGGAGAAGTCTGGCATACATCACCAGGGAGAAAGAAGTCTGTTGTTTCACCAGAAGTTTGAGTTATGACATTCTGATCAAAAATTATGAGGTATTTTTTTAATGCACAGATGAATTAACACCCTTCAGTCTTTTAGAGGCAGCATAAATGCAATCCAGTTATTGATCTCAACTACATAATAAACAGTACAAAATAAACTCTTAACAAAACTACAAAAATAATTCTTAATGTAATGTGCTGTAAATAAGCCAGTTTAAACATTCAAGTGCATGAAGAGGCTAAACAGAACTCAATTCGGTACTCGCGCACTATTATTTGAGGCATTTGTGTAAACACAGAATTGCATCTTTCGCATACACAAAAAATTATCTCACAATACCCTTCTCTGCAAAGATTCTCTTAAATAGTCGGTTGTGTCTTAAGTGAACGTATACAGTGAAGAAAGAAATTGCATGCGTATCATTATATTGGATCTGTGCTTCCGGTCTTAAAGGGACAGCAGCCTATACCTGCTGCTCTCTGTCATTAATGTAAATAACAAACAAACACAACACAACTTTAACAAAGATTAATCTGTACTTAATTTATGTGAACACTGTGCAGTGTTGTTTTACACTTATTTATTACATTTATGTGCTTGAAAACTAATTTTAGACCTTACTTTACCTGCAGCTTTACTATTTTTATCTTGCAATTTGTTTATTTGTTCTTATTTTATTATTGACGCTTCACTTTTCTTTAATAATGTTTGACCTTTATTTGTTATGCTAGTCATGTTTGGTATCGAAGAAGTACTTAAAGTGTTATTTAAATAATAATTTTTTAAAAATCCAAAAAGGACCGATCTGTGACTCAAAACCTGTAATATGTGACCCTGGACTACAAAACCAGTCTTAAGTCACTGGGGTATATTTGTAGCAAGAGCAAAAAATACATTGTATGGGTCAAAATTATTGATTTTTATTTTATGCCAAAAATCATTAGGATATTAAGGAAAGATCATGTTCCATGAAAATATTTTGTATATTTCCTACTGTAAATATATTAAAACTTAATTTGTGATTAGTAATATGCATTGCTAAGAACTTTATTTGGACAACTTTAAAGGCGATTTTCTCAATATTTTGATTTTTTTTCACCCTCAGATTCCAGATGTTCAAATAGTTGTATCTCGGCCAAATATTGTCCTATCCTAACAAACCATACATCAATGGAAATCTTATTTATTCAGCTTTCAGATGATGTATTAATCAAATTTTCTAAAAATGGACCCTTATGACTGGTTTTGTGGTCCAGGGTCACATATGATTTGAACCATGAGATTTGTGATCCGTTGCACCCTACTCTCTTGACTTGTTATTTGAAGCAAAAATACATTCACTGAAGTTTTTGTGTTATTCAGGCTAGTTAAATTCATTTTGGGCTACCAAAATCTGAAGAATGCCTGCCCGAAGGGCTACCAGGGATTTAAAAAATTTGCAAGCCCTAATTTGGCTCCAATATAGAAAAAAAATTAAAAACTCATCTCAGTTCCCTACATGGTAACTACTGATCCGCTTTGCTTGTTTTTTTCCTGGTTGATGTTGTGTATTCCGTTGGCTTACCCTGGCTCAGCTAAAGGGCACCCTCATAATGAGATTGGGGTACAGCCCCCTAAAATGCTAAAAACTTTCTGCCTGATGATCCTATTGTGTTTAGTGGTTTACAGCACAACCAGTCCTGAAACACACATACTCATATACACACACACAAACTCTAGCACTCCTCCTCCCCATGTCCCAGACAAGACATTAACTGAAGAAGACACTTGTCCATGTAAAGCAGCTGGAGGGCCAACATAAATGCCCATTAAACACTAGCCTGAGGAGATGAACAACAGCTAAATTAATATACTTCACATAAACCGATATTGCTTTTCACTCACTGCATACCAGAAGAACATATGGCAAATTGCATACCTATAGAATAAACAACTCTTAATGACTTGCATCGATATACAAACCATGGTCCAGTTGGGATTTTAATTCTGCATTCGTGCTGATACAATGGAAATGAATAGGACCATAATGAGACAGAATGGGGATTGTGAACAAAACTCCAGCAGTGTGTGGACTCCCATAAAAGACGTCTTAGCTATTGTGTGTCACTGTGTGAAAATGCCAGACAGACAGAAAAACATAGTATACCACAAAAGACAGGAAGGAAAAGGAAGAAAGCACTTGAACTTTAATGAGGAATGGGTTTGTAGACAGGCTTTGCTCTGTATGTATAATATATAAGCTACAAAAAACTAGTTCAAATGTGCGTAATTTTTTATTTTTTTTAAGTGGCAGTCCTGGCTGGGTGCTCAAATGAAAGATAAGAAAAACACAAAATTTTACATTTTGGTGCATCCTTATTTAAAATCCATTTGCGGCATGATACTTTTGCATATGTGTTTTTTGCAATGAAGATCAGCAGAGCAATACCTTTAGTATTTTTAAGTCAGAAAGGTTTCATTAGCAATAACTATTCAATCTTGAATCAGAATTTTCCATCTTGATGTTTATTCCCTTTTTTCTCTGATTAAACAGCCTTACCAAATGCAAATAAATATTCACTGCAATCACTCTCTTATTCATATATTCATAAGAGAGATAATAGTAGCTGAAAAGGTTAGGATGTTCTATCACCTTTAATCAAAGCAGTCATCACACTGACAACGTTCCTTTCATAGTGAGCAAAAACATGGCTGATTAGAGAGAATCCAATTAACTGAAGAAGACACTTGTCCATGTAAAGCAGCTGGAGGGCCAACATAAATGCCCATTAAACACTAGCCTGAGGAGATGAACAACAGCTAAATTAATATACTTCACATAAACCGATATTGCTTTTCACTCACTGCATACCAGAAGAACATATGGCAAATTGCATACCTATAGAATAAACAACTCTTAATGACTTGCATCGATATACAAACCATGGTCCAGTTGGGATTTTAATTCTGCATTCGTGCTGATACAATGGAAATGAATAGGACCATAATGAGACAGAATGGGGATTGTGAACAAAACTCCAGCAGTGTGTGGACTCCCATAAAAGACGTCTTAGCTAGTGTGTGTCACTGTGTGAAAATGCCAGACAGACAGAAAAACATAGTATACCACAAATGACAGGAAGGAAAAGGAAGAAAGCACTTGAACTTTAATGAGGAATGGGTTTGTAGACAGGCTTTGCTCTGTATGTATAATATATAAGCTACAAAAAACTAGTTCAAATGTGCGTAATTTTTTTTTAAGTGGCAGTCCTGGCTGGGTGCTCAAATGAAAGATAAGAAAAACACAAAATGTTAAATTTTGGTGCATCCTTATTTTAAATCCATTTGCGCCATGGTACTTTTGCATATGTGTTTTTTGCAATAAAGATCAGCAGAGCAATACCTTTAGTATTTTTAAGTCAGAAAGGTTTCATTAGCAATAACTATTCAATCTTGAATCAGAATTTTCCATCTTGATGTTTATTCCCCTTTTCTCTGATTAAACAGCCTTAACAAATGCAAATAAATATTCACTGCAATCACTCTCATATTCATATATTCATAAGAGAGATAATAGTAGCTGAAAAGGTTAGGATGTTCTATCATCTTTAATCAAAGCAGTCATCACACTGACAACGTTCCCTTCATAGTGAGCAAAAACATGGCTGATTAGAGAGAATCCAAAAAAGAGTCCCCTAGCAACAGTAGAGGAAAGAGAGGGTACTTCAGTGAGTGAGCGAGTCACGTGAGGCCTGCCCACACCTGCACAACAGCCCTTATCATTCGTCCTGCATGCTACGGTTCACACAATGGACCCACTCAGTCCAGTGTCTGCAGTCTCCAGGTTAACAACCTCTACCCACATATCGCTGGTGAAAACAAACATGCAGGACAACTGGACAGAATTACAAATATAAATCAAAGGAGCAGCCAATATGTATTGATCACAATGTAAAAATGCTATACCCACAGATTATATTGTAATCCAGATACTTCCCGAAACAGGTTTTAAGAATGAGCTATCACTGTATGATGTCATCCATGTCATCTACGATGCACAGATGGACATAATAGAAAAAAAAACTATATAAAGAAAAAATATAATTCATAATTATAATTCCCACTTGTTATAAACAACTAACAGACTAGCGAGCATTAATGATACTGCACCTCAATCATGCGGTTTATTGAGATGTGTACTATTACTATATATAAACATTCTTAAATCAAGATACATTTACTTGAGAAGCAAAATGACTTAAGAAATTAGGTCTTGTTTTTTTAAATTAAGTTAAGTATTGTCAGTGTGGTCAGAAAAATAATCTAGTTTTCCATTTGAATTAAGTTTATTTTTCCAACCTCAGTGGCAGATTTTTTTTCAAGCATAAACTCAATTAAATTTGATAGATTTTTCAGAAAACAAAACGTAATATCTTAAGACATTTTGCTTCTAAATGTATCTTAAATGTGAATGTATCTTGATTTAAGAATGTTCAGACATTTCTAATGGAAAACAAGATAAAATACTAAGTAAGACAGACTTTTTTGGGGGCAGTGTAGGGACAAGAACAGCATACTAAATTGTGGGCAGGCCCTTTTACCCTAAACCAGAAGCAACTGCTTAAAAATTGCCCCTGCACAATTGAACAATCGATTACGGCTGTCGCCATTAAAATGAAAGGTGAAAATGAATTAAGTGTCTATTCGAGGAATTACATTTTGATTCACTCACACTGCATCAGATTGCTTTTTACGCATTGTTTTTTGCAGCGTTGAGCCTTATAACCAGTGACACACGTTTCCGTTGAGCTTAGGAATGCAACGGCCAATCAGAGGCATTCAGATTAGTCAGCACTGTAAACAAGTTGTTGAGTGTGAGCGCTCACTGATTGATTTCTTTGCACTCATGAAACCATGCTGTGCAAATACAATGTAAATAAAAGATTCATTCTGTAGCTTCAGTGATTATAATGGGAGTTTTTGCACAACTTGCGCTAGACTAGACTAATGTCTTGGACCGACCAATGTTTGTCTGTGAAGCCAGAGCCAGAATATATGAGCGAAATAATTTTTTTTTATGTATTCTATTACTTGACGTTAATAATCTTTATTGCAATATCAAGAGCAATAATCGACAATAACAATTTTTGTCATAATATTGCAGCCCTATTAGCTCCTGTTTTTAAATAAGATACAATTTTAAACAGTCAATTGTTATTGGCAACAGTTTAAAGTATTCTGATTGATTGAAGTATTTGGATAAATGTAAGTATTTGACATTTAAGACATTAAGGTGGTGATAAAAACTGCCCTCACAAATGTAAAAAGTGCCCCTTAATGGAAAATGTAATTTTCTGACCCTGCTAGCAACACCCTTGCAACCACAGCACCTTAGCAAGTGCATAGCAACAGCCATAGTAAGCATGTAGCACTCAGGCAAATCAAGTGTATTTTACAATTTAAAGTGCTTTCTCCTTTCTCCAGTACATTTAAATTTACTGTTTCGCCTGTAAACTGTAAAATAGCTGATATATTTAAGCTTGTGGTGAACATTCAAGTTGCTACATTGCTTCATAAACAGCCTGTAGTTAAGCTAATGAACTATATTACTTGGTGGAAAAAGTGATTATCATCATTAATACATTTCGACCATTTTATGAACGCAATAATTCTCCTAAGGCAGTGTAACAAACAGTCTCTCTTAACTTATTGCTTTACTACTGGGTGGGTGACTATTTATGACCATCAAAATAAAGGCAATAAGACAATACTGCTGACTACTAGAATTCATGATAATTACTAAGTACGCATAGCAATAAAATCACAACATTAAAAAGATTGTATGGTAAGACAGAGCTTGCATGGACATGAAATAAACATGGATATGCAAGAGAATCGGAGTCTGTATGAGACTGGAGCTCTTTCTCGGCTTATTACACACAACAAAAGCCCTTGTGCCTGACACTTACATGACCTGGTTATGGTTACTAGGGTAGCTGTGTTTGAATTTGGTGATATAATCCATCAAGGGCTCTACATCTTGGCTCAATTCTAAATCAACAAGACCCACACACAATATTGCCTGAGTGGAGCATGTGAAGAGGAACGGCTGATTTTCAAGGGCACTTGATGTGCAAATGCTTCTTAGTTTAAATTGAAAGACATATGTGAACTGGCTTACAGATTCAAACATTTGCTGTGTTGGTCAAAGAAGACGATGTTATGTGTCATCTACTGAACTAAGCAAAGATGGTTTCTGGGATCATTTGATAGCAAGAAGGTCAGCATCACCTCAGCCACTGCAGAGCCACAGGTTCAGCTCTAGCTGTAAGCCAATGAGATCAGGACATTGGCTCAGAATGTGAAGAAAGTTCTTGTGTCAGCACAAAGCAGACCAGCTGTAATAAAAGCCTAACTACACACACAACATGCACATAAACACCTTCACCTATATTCAAGCAAGACAGACTGGTCATTACCTCACATTTATGTAAGGATGCACTTTTTATCAGATACTTGATTGGATAGAGATGTTTTTTTTTCATGGTTGCTAGGGCACTCTGGCTGGTTTCTAAGGTGTTGCTCTGCAGTTGCTAT